TTAAACATTATTTTTTATTTTTTTTAATAACTTTTTTGTGTAGGTGTGTTTGTTGAGAACTTTTAATTTATTAATTTCTTCTACTTTATTTATTATCTTTTGTTTTATAATTACTTTAAAAAATATTTATTATTTGGTTATCTGTTGCTGTATTTTTTTTCACCCACATCTTTTTTTTCTTCTTCTCTCTCGGCTTTGATATCGTTCTTCGTTTTTTTTTTTTTTCAAATTTTTTTTACCATTTTTTGTCAACTTTTATTATCTTCTTCTTCCACCTCTTTCTTTTCTTTGATTTATCTTTTTATCACATTAGATTTTGTTGTTATTTCTCTTTTTTTTCTTTCTTTTCTCTTCTTCTTTCTTACCTTCTTCTGAGAATAATTAAAGGATGAGCAATGAATTGATGAGACTGTAATGCCAGTCTGTTGGATAATTTGTTTTTATTTCCTTCTTCCGTTTAGTTTTTTCTTTTTTCTTCTTTTTTTTTATATTTTTTTATTTTTATTTTTTTGCTAATCTTGTTAGAAAACAGTTAACTGACACCGATTCCTAAGTGTAATACAGTTTCAAACGTTCAAGCAGCAGTTACTGCTTTTGCTTCTCCGCTATTTTTTTATCTACTTCTAAGTATAATTCTTCATTTTACATAAGCAACGAAATAAAGTTGAATGAAAATTTATTATTAACTTTATGGGTTGTTTTCCGTCGTTTAAAAACCTTAAGATGAAAAATTGAAAAAATTTTTTTGTCATCATTATAATGAAGATTTTTTCTTCTTCTTCTTTCTATCCCAGCAGAAAAGTTAGGGCATAGCGGTACCGGCGAGGGACCATGGAGGAAAACGGAGAGGAAAGTAGCACACTTTGAGCGAAGACAATTTGATGGTTTTTTCACTAGATCAAAGTGAGATAAAACTTGAATAGCTAATTGAATTATCATGAAAAAAGACTGTGTTTCTCTATTTTCTTGCTACATCTTTTTTTTCTTTAATTGCTCAAACCTTTCTTGTCGCTTTTTCTATCTTTCCAAGAATACGTGCAATGATGTTTCAAATTTATTTCTGGCTAAGCTTGTTTACGGCATATACGTTTGCTTATGGCAGAAAAAATCAAGTAAGACTATAAAAAACCCAGCCGGAAACAGCTATCGATTTATCTGTTCTTCCTTTTTTTTCCTTTTTTTTTTGCTTTTCTATATGGTTTTCTTTCATTTTTTTTTGAAATTGAAATATTTTTTGTAATCAAACTAACCAGTGATTAAGTTATCGTAGATGTTTAGAAGGAATAGTAAAGGTGGCAACACAGAATTGAGAATATTGAAAAAAAAAGATTTACTGAATGGGTTGAAGCACAATAACTGTTGTAACAGTCTGTTAGGAACATGTTGATTAGGGTCGGCGATTTTTCAGTTATTTGTTGCTCCCAACGACAGCAACAGCAAAAATATCTTATTTCCCTGTATTTTTCTTTTTTCCCGACTATAAATTTTATGAAATAAATTTTTTTTTTAATGTTTATGTTCTTCCATTTTTTTTGCTGTTTTTCTGTACAAAACATTTTTGGAAGAGAGCTGGAACAAGAAGATGACTGAGTAAAATAAAATGTGGAAATAGTGTGAACAGTCTATTCGTTTTTTTTTTATTTTGATAGGTTTTTTGAACAATGAGGTCAATTAAAGGCTAAGTTTCGTCTCTTTTTTTTTTCTTTCCTGGAGGAGAAGAGTGAAGGCTGAAGGAAAAAGGAAGTGAAGAGAAAGGGGAAGGGGAACGAATAGGGGATGCTAATTGCTATGATACTTATAAAGCGGGGGAAAGACAGAATTTAGTGGGTATTCAGAATTTTGTTGCCGTTGCCGCTACTGCCAACATAGCGAAAAATTCAAATAGACGAGAGATTGGAGTTTTTCTTTTGGTTCATTCAAATTTTTTTTGCTTTGTCTTTTTTTCTGCTCTGTTAATTTTACTTATTTATTTTTACTTCTATTTTTTTTTTT